AAGCACATGAGATAGCTCAAAGAGAATTTTAGAGACTAACTGCCGAGAAAACAACGGCGTATGCAACACAACAATTATGAGTAATTAGGAAGTATCATCTACAGATTAAAATAATTCCATTATGTGCACAATGTACTTTTATGTGGAAAGATGAGCTGGGTACTCATTTTATTTTATTACAACTAGTTTTATTTTCAATCAAATTGCTATTATATGCATATGTTAATGTCGATATAGATTACAAACGATCAGTTAACACAATGTTTTGTGGTCATCGGTGTGTCCCGGCCTGGTGCAATTCTTGTTATCAGTAGAAAAACTGTTTCAGATGACACCTGATAATGCCATCATTGTTTTGTATCTTGTTCAATGTCCACACACATGTAAGACTTGGCCTGTTATTGTGGAATGCAATATATTGTATTACATGTATTAGGGATATTGTCTTGCAAGTGTGGTAATTAGGTTCCTGTACATACATGTTACATGTCAGGATATTTTCCATTCATTGTATGGATTGTGCTCTTAAGAAATGATCACAATAAAATAGATATCCAAGAAAATGGCAGGAAATATGAGAGGATTTGTAATAAGTACTCTACTATGCATCTTTAAACAGGCATTTCATTTGTGCTGGCCTTATTGCATCGACAGTTATGAATGTGTCAGTATTCCATTATCTCTATTTTAAGATCAAGCTTGACGCAGGTGTACAATGTGAAAATTACTTTGTTCCGTATTAAAATATTGAGCGAAGTGTAAATTGTTAAATTGATATTGCAGAAAGTATTTATTGCCATGCTTCTTATACAAGGGATGCAAATGTACATCAAAGCACAGCTCGAGAAATCGGTATGGTTGTAGGCATTAAGTTTTGGTATTTTGCATGGGGTGCCAAGGTACACAATAGCAGTGGTATCAATAGAATTTCTGACAAAGGCACAGTGATAAAAACCATCAGGTAAAATAATTGGAATTTATAACTTGATATTAGAAATCTTGGAACACATCAATTGATTTTGGCAATAACAACAACAGGCATTTTCCCACTTTTTCCACTGTTACTTGCTTCCAATTTAACAGCTGTCATTAAGGATAGAGGCTCATTTTATTTCCCAGTGATGAGTTGTGACATGTTGTAATAATATATAATATCACCAACTCATCAGTTTGTCTTGTCAACCATTCTTCCATCAATTCTCCCATTCAACTTTCACAATGCTTTTATAGAGGGTTTGTTTATTTTATTTGGTTCATTATGATATTCAATCAAACAAAATTCAGTGGATATAGAGAATGGCTCCATCCGACTGTATGTCCATCGGGGTTTAACTCAATATACCCTTGGCCTTATATCATTTATATTTTATATGTACATGTATATGCCCCATGCAATCATGTGGGTACAACACTACAAGTTCTGCTTGAAAGCTGTCTAATATGGCGGTATTTTAGGAACAACATAATAATGATATTGGTAAGTTTTAAATGCAGAAAATTATATAAGATTTTGATTTGAAAATCTCATTTTCTTTAAAATACATGGTGACCATCTTGTAAAATGATGGCTGTTTGTAAAATCTTGTAAAATGATGGCTGTTTATCATATATGATTTTTGCTGTAACTTGAAAAGTAGCAGAGTGATTTTAAACTCATGACACTTTGGCTGGTAGGACGGTATTTGGAAAACTGTGGCCAGTTTAAGAGCGATTTTATTGAAATATTATATGTGAATACATGCACTACAAAGCTGTATAAAATGACAATTTGGCTAATAGGCAGCCATTTTTATGTCACCACCACAAAAGACTTTGGTGTGTACTTGTTATGCCTACTGTATGTACGAGTGCACATAAAAGAACACAGGTCTCTTTCAAGGAGGGGTTCCTGGATCTGCCTATCATGATTATGCATTAATTAGGACCGTATATATATGGGATATACCCAAGAGGTATTGCTCACCTTCATTTGTGGTAAACAAAATACAATACAATTTAGACTGACTTTTTAAAATCATCTTTCAGAAGTTCAAATCTGACTTTAGATTTGACTTTCAATTACCTTCTCAAGGCCAAAAATGCGAAAAAGGTCTTTTTTCAACATGCTTCAAATTGACCAATTTTTGTTTCTAAATCATTTACACTTTCTCAAAAGTTCATATCTGACTTTAGATTTGAGATTTGAACTTCAATGTCCTTCTCAAGGTAAAAGAGGTCACCTGTATCGAGGTTAAGTGCAGTTCCCAAAGTGTACCAGGCATGCAAACATTACAGTGATTGCCCACTTGTTTATGGTTATCATAAAACTTAATAAACTTTTCAATCACCGCAAACCACTAAGTCCAACTTCTTGCTATTAACTTCATATACTTTCCAATGATCAGCAGATAACTTGGCCATGTCTGGTTTGAAGGTAGCCATCAAGATCACATGTCTATTGCCAGAGAACGAATTGACAGTAGACTCATACTTAACCATTCTTCTCCCTTTGCCATGTTTTTGAAGCCGTTGGTGGACCCAAGTTCTTGACCCTAGGAACACCCGCATTCATTAGAACCATCGCAAATACAAGACTGATGGCTGGCCAAGTTCTCCAGATTCCAATGATGCTGGTGGTTAGAATTTTATTTGTTATAAAGAACCGTCACTCTGGATTCTAGAGGGTGTACCACCCCCGTTACTGTGAGCTTAATCACTCAACTTATGGTGAGACCTGTTACCTGCTAATAGCCAAGCCCAGTACCTCATTGATCAAAAAGGAGATAGTGTTCAGACTACTCCTACCCAGAATGAGGATCAAGGATATTCCTTTGACCTTCAGTTGGAGTCTGATAGTGATTTTTCAACCAACTTCTTCTCAACCAACACCTCTAAGGGGCTTGCTCTAGGGGAAACAACTGTAGGTTTACATGACCTTCCGCATCACCACCTTGACTGAGTTCGTTATGGTCAGCAAGAAGCCCCGTCCCCCAGTGGAACCCCATTGGATACCCCTATGCAGAATGTAGACATTAGTTACCCTGATGACTCTTTCCTTTATCAATAGAGACATAAAATGAAATTAAATGTAAAGTGATAAAATATGTCACTCTGAATTTATTAATGCAAAATTGTTAACACTTAAATCCAAATATAACTGTTAAAATCAGTTAGGTCCTCGACCGGCGTATCATTGAGCATTTCATCAACACATTTTTTGAGATCAGTCCTTTGACGCTTCTCGGAAGTTCTCAGAAGTTCAAATCTGACTTAAGATTGAACTCATAATATTGTGAGCAACATAGTGGTGACATTTTGTCATTAAATTGTTAATGCCTTGTTATAGGTGTTATACTATGTTTTTTGTTTGCTTTTACTGGCGATTTTGTTAATAACTAGAAGAAGCATATAAAACTGTCTAATGACACTTTGGCAGCCATTTATGGTTGTTCTATGGCATTTGCACTTGGCAGTGGTGTTGCTGTCATCTAGTTTATTTATTGGTTGGGATATTTGTGGTTGTTTTGATAATGAATGGTTACTCTTTTAAATTTTTCTGTTTCTTAATGTGTTTTGTATTTAATTCTAAATTTGAAATAATAATTATAGTTGTAGCTAAGATCTGGGCATGATTCTGCGTCTTAAATGCTAACCTTAAATGTCAAGGTATATTTCAGACAGAGTCATGTCACTATACCAAGTGCTTGTCATTAGTTAAACATCTGAAACAAGTAAGCGTGTTTACATTAAGTAAATAACCTGTCCCAGAAAGTGCCCTTGTCGCCATCAATGGCTGGACCCATGTGCATATATTCTTTCAGACACTTTAAAGAAAAAAACTGACTAGTCACGTTTTTTGAGATCTCTAAGTTGGCTTCATTCTTATCCAATCAAGCGTATTTATTACTGGACCACAAATATTTGATCTTTTTAACCTTGTTTATTCCAAAATGGAAATCTTTAATTAATTAGGAATCATGTTCATATTACAGTTATTGATTTGTTATTCTGCGGAATTGGTGTTTTTCTCATTTTGTTATTTATTTCTCTCTGCATCTCCTTTTTAAAAGCTCACATGTTGAGCTTTTGCAATCTCTCACTTGTCCGTCTGTCCGTCAGTCTGCAGGGGCTGATTCAGGGAGGGAAACATGAAACTTGACGCGATTACCCTCAACTGCTCAAGTTTATAGTCCAGTGAAATATGTGTTCATTGTCATGCATTTATTCTTGCATTTTTTGGTTTGGCTTCTCAGTGAGTGAGTCACGAAATTCCAGAAAATATGGACGAGGCTATATGTATCAGGAGTCGGTTTTTGAACTTTTCCATGGCAACTTAGATTAAAGATAGAGCAAGGTTCAGAAACTGACTCCAGAAGTGTCAAATATATTAAAACTTAATTGCAATTCACTCCTAGTTCAAAAAGCCGACTATATTCATAATGGCCACCTTTTTGTCAAGTGAAATTCACTTTGTGAGCATTAACTGTTTATAAATAATTCCAGGTGACCTACATTGTTAAAACTCATGTCTCTAACAGGTTTCAAGACAAACCTCTCAATATAATTCTAGTTTTAGGTTACTTTTCTAATAACCAATACATGTACAAAAAAGCGCCCTATGCCTCCTGGTTCAAAAGCATGCCTATTTTCAAATGGCTTCCACTTTTTGTTAAGGGAAATTAAGCTTTATAAAGTCTAGGTGGCCAATTTGGATTTTTATCCTAAAATCTTGTCTATAAAGTCTTCTGTACATGTTTTGAGCCAAAGGATTTCATAAATCAATCTGAAACTTTCAGGGATGTTTCTTAGAATAAAAGTCTACAAATGCTTAGTCTTGGGACATTCTGGGTATTTCTTTGTATCAAAACACCACGTGACCCCAGTACCCACCGTACAGTACTATTTCTTTATTTTCATTTGATAATTCTTAAAATCCTTTAAGCTGGTGGAAGCTTTTTTCTGACTGTGTGATATTATTTATTTATTTTTTGGTGATGGATGGCTGTTTGTTTGTTTTTAAGGTAAAACCAAACGTGGTGGTAGGGGTGCAAGGAAGGTTAAAGATCGCAGTAATGACAAAGGCAAAACTGAGAAAAAAGGTATGTACGTAGTTCACATCAATAAATGGAGAAATTGAAAGGAGGGATTGCACAATTTCTGCCAATTTTTTTATAATTTCTTTTTTCTAGCAGAAATTGTACAATTTTCCCTCTACTATCTTTTTGTGAGCGCATTGTTGAATTTATTCTTTTTTTCAGTTGTTACAGTATAACCTGTGTTAATGAAATTCATGTTTTGAACTGAAATAATTCTTCACTGTCACTGCTACCCACCTAACTACTTCCGGGACTAGGTTTCGGTAAGATTTTTTTATTCCCCGATTTACACCTACTTATAAGTCTGTTGTCGATAATAATTTGGCTCGAAGTTAAGGAAGATAGTCTAGTAACTAGGTGGGTAGCAGTGACTGTAGAACTATCTCTTGTTTGCGACTCGACATCTGGACTTTTACAGGGATTTCTGAAAAATTTGCAAAGACATGAATTTTTGCAATTCACCAAATTAAATTTGTTTCCAAATTGCCTTGACTTCTTCTTTCAAGGTACCTGTGTTTAAACCCATAAAAATCCATATCACTTTTAAGATAATTTTCTTGAAATGGATGACTTTTTAGGAGTTTATGGATCTGAAGGGATGGTTTATCATCCATTTTTGTATATATTGGCCCCAACTTTCATTAGAAATCAGAGTGCTTCTCAATTTTTCCAAAAGGCTGATTATGAAATTATTTAAGTAATAGTTAAAAGTCACTGCTACCCACCAAGTTACACAGACGTATCGTCAGTGTATCATGGCGGAACTACTTCCGGGACTAGGTTTCGGTAAGATTTTTTTATTTCCCGATTTACACCTACTTTTAAGTCACGTCGTGGATAATAATTTGGCTCGAAGTTAAGGAAGATAGTCTAGTTTGAGAATGTGTCGATGGTTTTAGGTTTTATATGTTAACGAAGACACAATTCACGTATTTAGTCCCTCGCTTTTTTACACTGACGAACGACCAATATCAGTCTAATATTGGCAGAATTAATGCCGATCGTCAGTGTAACAAAAGCGAGGGACTAAATATGTGAAATGCGTCTTTCATTAAAATACCAAACCTAAAACCATCGACACATTCTCAAACTAGACTATCTCCCATAACTTCGAGCCAAATTATAATCCACATCGTGACTTATAAGTAGATGTAAATCGAGAAATAAAAATATCGTACCAAATTCAAATCCCGGAAGTAGTTCAGCCATGATACACTGACGATACGTCTGTGTAACTAGGTGGGTAGCAGTGAAAGTGCAACTTATTGTAACCCTATCAAACCCTGTAAAATGAAATTCAAGATGTTTTCGTCAACTATGTACAGTGTTTTTCACCCTGGAATTTTTCTTCTGAATAGATGCTCCATTATCAGTAATGTAAGCTCATACTTTGAGCATGGAACTGTGAATTATTTGTAGTACTATGAGTTATTTTGATTCAAAGTTCATTTTGACATTTAATTATTTCACTTTATAATGATACATGTACCTTATGAAGAGACGTGGAAGAAGTCTAGACAAAATTTCCTTAAATGGAAGAAAATGTCAGAATGAATTTCTAAAAATACATTATGGTGAAAATTTTCAAATTCTTCTAATCACCATCTCTAGGGGTCCCATGATACACTTCTTTGAGCAACGATATTTACCTCATGATACGTTCAATAGAAATATATGGTAAAAAAAGTTCATGAAAATTTTCACAAAAAAAGATAAAATCAAAAAAATCGAAATCATTCAGTCTTTCAGTATTTGTCTGATATTAGAGAGATTTCGCAACCACTCTTATAGTGTGTATATAAATCCTTTATTATAACATATAAAGTGTATGTACTACGTCTTCACTTGTTGCGCAGATCTATCCATTTATATGGAGCCATCACTTATAAAACACTTTTTATAAGTGAGAAAATACTCGTTTCGACATAGTTATTATTGGTAGGAAATCATACTGATACTTGGCATGAAGTCATATATTATTATCCAATCCACCTTATGAACAATCATCAATTTGGAGGAGAAAGTAATCTTTCAATCGCAGGACCTTTAATCTCTGTATTCCAGCCTAGTTACATCAAGTTTCCAGCTCCTACTGCATTTGATGGTTCTTATGTTTGCTATTTATGAACAGAATTATGTTCATACCTTTGTGTATCACTTTATAGAATGTGAGTTCATATTCCTTCTATATCATTTGTTATTTATTAATTATTATTTAAAAGTGTAGTTTCACATATAAGTATTTTCTACATTTGCCGATGCTGACCTCCCTTTAGATAAAAAAAATTGCTAAAGCGAGATTAAGTGCAATTTTGCCCCTTTCTGAAAGTTGAAAATTAAGGTTGAAATAATTGCTTTTCAATTTTTATTTATTTATAAATTGATTGAGAAGACAAATTCAAACACACATTTCACCTAGGTTCTTCCCTATCATCCCCGTGTGTCATACCTCGCCTGTTCCAAATGTGATTTAGTTTCTTCTGAACTGCCATTTTTCTGAAAAATTATCAGTATTGTGACCATATAAACACTTTTAGTTGCAAGAAAATCGGTCAGTTATTTATTTTTCAAACCGGAAATGGTAGTGCTGAATGGAATCACAAAATAATCAGTTAAACTCAATGTCTCCGAATCTATACAGAGGGTTGTAGCTGAAGGTGTTTTAAAGCAGGCCTTGGAGGATAAGGGTTAAATATGGCAGACCCTTTATCGTAATCCCAAAACATTTCTGCTGTGTTCTGTTTGGATTGAAATCAGATGAGAGGATTTTCAAAGAAGCCTGCCCTATGATTTATGAATTGCCTAAAATTACATAATGAATAAGATTGTGTATTAGAATGCTGGCACCAACTCATCCTACCAGCTCACAGAGTAGCATAATATTATACCTATCACTACATTGTTGATGTGAGGACAACACATTATCTTAAAAAAAGTTCACATATCTATGGTGTTTAAACTGCTTCTTTATTTGGTACAATAAATATTCCATACATACCAAATAAAACAATTATTTGAAAACTATGTAGAATAGCTGCGTGGCCATTTTGCAAAATAAATATATAATTTAGTAAATAAAATAAGTGATTTAATGCACATAGTATTAATTAAGTGATTTAATTCATTGGCTATTTTGAAAACTTAATTTGCTGTTACAAACTGACAAATATATAAATGTTTCTACCGGAGGGAAAATTGATTTAGCGAATATAAATATTCCATATATATTTGAATTTAATGAATAAAGAAGCAAATAAAATGCCATACATATCACATTCTGACTACAATATGAGCCAAAGTAGTTTAAATTTCATATAGGGCCTTTAAAATCTTCTCTTTTACAGAGACTGGCATTGATATCTGAAATCAAATGAATAGTCCCTAAAATTACCCGAAATTACAAGTTTTACAATTTTACAAGATTTACAGTCTACCTTTAATGTCGCAGTGATTAAAGCTTTATTATTTTGCCGCAGTCTTGATGACATGTCTTGGGGTCATCTTGTTCTAAACTAAATATAACCAGACACTGTCTAGAAATTGTGATATTGGATATTGAATAGTAAAACGATTACTAGAACTTCATTTTCAATTACATTCACAATAACAAATGTGACGCCAGGGAAAAATTAAGAGCCGTCAAAAAACGAATTGTTCGGAGTAAAAAAATAATAAAAACTGCCTAATTGTAATGATACGTTATAAACCGTTAGGGTTTTTAATAAATAAAGGTGGAATAAAGTATTAGAGAGATTATTAATCACTGTCATATTCCTCACTTTCTGATTGGCCTATGTTTGATACTTGACGATAAGGACCAAGAAGCCATAGCTTTGAGATTGTTCCGTATAATCTGAACCACACAATTTTATACCATATATCCCAGGCATTTCGTCCAGTGTATTTTTTTCCATATATCCCAGTTGGCACTTTGTCCAGTAACTTTCATATATTTTATATAGTTGATAAATCCCCTATATGTCCTCCAGGCTTTGGGCCATGGAAATATTGCTTGTGAAAGGTACACAGGTTCCATCTGAATACAATGAAATATTTGTACATATATTCTGCTGTCAATGTTTCAATATATTTCTACCTTTAATTATCCAGTCAGTATGAGATGTTTAAACTTGTTTCACTTTATACTATATTTGACACCAGTCTAAATATTAAAATATTCATTGGTGCTAAACAATCATTGGAATAGAGATACCTTTCTTGTTTTAAGTTCGATTTTGGTGAAATCGGTGTCATATGAAAGCAAAATTTGTTCCTGATATATTAAAAAATGTAAATTAGCTGATTTAATTTAATAGTAGTTATCGTTATCATGTACTTACTTGAATTAATACATACCTAACACTAATCAGTGATCTCCCCTGGATTTTTTCTCAGGTGGGTGCAAAATTCTCATTTTCACAATTCAGACCAAAATTGGTCAAAATATTCCAGATTTTCATGATTTTGCTCATTTTTAAGTGGGTGCAAATGGATTTTCAGGTGGGAACAAGCCTATTTTAAAATCTCAGGTGGGTGCTGCGCTAACCTAATTTAATGCTGGTGAGATCACTGCTAATATACTAAGGAAATGGCATTCATATTTATGTTTGTGCTGTAGATGGTGAGAAATCTTCCACAGCTGAGCCAGTTGCTAAGAAGAAGAAGGTGGCATCTCCCCAACTGTCACTGCTTGAGGAGATTGGAATTTTGATGGAGAAGAATGGCGATGTCCCTATAGTTCCCCCTGAGGTAAATATCACATAGTGACAACCCTATTCTTCTAATATTTGGAAAAGTTTTAGAGAAGAAAACAAGGAGGGAGTGAATAATAGTTAGACATATTATATGTCATGCTAATTTATTAATGTCATTAATATTGGCAACATTTCCATTATGAAACATCAGCATCCTTGGTCCAAGAGTAATTCATTGCATTACATTACATGAGCTGCTATGAAAGCAGTGAAGGACCGATCTTGAAGGATGAAACATCAGTGTCATGGTTATAAAAATAGAATCTGAGTTAACTAACATGACACGATCAAATGCTCACACTTTTTAAACCTAATGTAACAGCAAAGAATATTACCACGGGCATTGCAGCTGCCACCTGGCCTATTTATGTAACTAATATACATGTGAAACAAGGGAGTTTTTTGATTCAGATACATCAGAAAAGCTCAGATGCACAAAACAATATTATAAATCGAATGTCCCCAAAGTCCTAGCAATGCCACATCCTTGGTTGCAAGGTTGACACAAGTTCTACCTGATACTTTTTGTCCAAGAACTGGTACACGCATGTATGAACTATAGGATATATTTTATACCATGAGCCTTGATAAAGTATCAATTTACAAATACCTCTAAGGACATAACATAGGCTTGTGTATAGGAATTAAAAAACAAGTTCATGGAAAGACAGTTAAAATTACATAAATGCAACTTCCATAGTCTCCCAAACACAGTAAGGGGAAGCATCAAAAGTTCAATGTCCGATAGGAAAATAAATAAATCTAGCAAAGGGGGGGGGGCTGTTCAAAGTCATTTCAGTTTGCTATCCAGCAAATTTTTTCAACATTTCAATTTTTTGCAATTTTGACTCAGAATGCCTTGGAATAAAAGATTTTACCTGATGCTTACTTCATCAAGATGCAAGCAAAACAGAATATTCTGCCTGCTGTTGTTGTCACATGTTTTAAGAATTCTAAATAAGTTATAATGCCCCCCACGAAAGTCAAAAGTCCACGAAAGTCCAAGTCCAGGAAAACACACGAAAAGTTTGCGATCATCTTTCATGCAATTTAGTTTTGGGGGTCAGGGGATTCAAACTCAAAACTAGATTTATTTAGTTTCCTATCATACATTGAACTTTTGATGCCTCCCCTAATATCTCAAAATAGTGTTCTAATTGAGAGGCATCCTCTAATAGAGGCATGGGCTCCATGTACAGAGGTGCTTTAGTTTACAAATGTTACTGAACTGTACTGTTACATTACTATTGAGATTTGTGCCATGAAATGATCTCTGCTTGTTACATTTCTGTTACTCAAAACTCCTCATATAGATAGTACAGTTTATAATTTCTCAAATATATCCTTGAGCTGCGTTTAATTATCTGGAGTAAGGATAAAAAGAGGATACAATGAGTTTTGGATTGTATGATTTTTTAAACCATTCAGGGATATGATAGCTGCATGTGTGGAGCAAATTCAGATGTATAGAAACTTCTTCCTCACGTTTTTTTCTAGAATTTGGGATGATCGTGACAATCATTGAGAAATATTTATCGTGAGCTTTGAAATCCGATTTACCTCATGCTGAATGTGATAATTAATTCCTAGAATAATTTCGTGATGAATTAAAAATACTGCAGTTATATAACTACAGGGTGTTAAAAAAATGCCACCCAAAGAAATCACTGTATCTTAGAAAAAACTAATCCAATTGTGTTCATTTCTTCAGGAAAGTAAGAAGAGACCGTGTGTTTATAGCTCCTCTTGTTAGTTAGTTGTAAAACATGATGTCTTGGACACCTGCTCAAAAGACATTATACATAGTATTAGAAAAATACGAAAAACGCAAAGGTTTCAGTTTCATTTTTATTTCTACCCACACCTGTGAGTATAAATACATATACAATATACATGTAATACAAAATTGATAAAATATCTTATGACAGTTATTTAGTTTAATCCTTTCAAGATACTTTGTAAAAATCTACAAGTTGAATTGTATACCTTTTGTTTGTAAATAGTTCAGTTAATTTATACATATTTGGCCTGTTTTGGAAGTATGGTTTTAAATATTTCTCCCTTTGTTCTTTAAGCAATATACATTCTAGTATAAAATGATATTTATCACCTAATTTATTACAATGGTTACACATTCTTGAATGTCTTGGTATATTTATCATGTACCTTCCAATTTCTATTGGTAAATTATGATTTGACATCCTAAATTGTGTTATGTACAGACGTATGCTCAATGGGTGGTGGAGATGAGATTCAAAGTTAATATTGGTCTTAATTGCCTTGTATAAATGATATGTGCTTTCCTGAAGTCTTGGACACCTGCTCAAAAGACAGTTGTAGTAGGAAAGTACAAAAACACAGTCAGAGGTGACTGCCACAGCAATACAACCAAATAACGGCATGTTCTAATCAGTGGACTGGCCCCAAGAAAAGATGGACCGGACTCTGGGCCATCTTTTAGACATTTGCTTCACAAAATTACTAAAAAGTGGACTTAACCCTCTATACTCCATTATGGGGCCACACTTTAGGTTTTCTGTAAGTATTTTGACTAAAAGATGGCCTCAAACAATACTTATCTAAAATTGAATTGAACTTATCAATATCATTATCCCAGCAAATGAAGTTCGATAGGGATGTCACGAAGCCCTCCATTTGTCAAGTCCTTTTCCCAAGTACAAGAAAAAATATGTGGATTTTTAAATATCTTCCTTTCAAATTAAAAAGATGGAATTTAGAATGTTTGACCACCAAGGGTCGAGCACAGACGCACATTTCATGATTAGCGGGATGAGTAGATGGTGTTTATCTAAAATATAGCTTCGTACATGCAAGAGGAAGGCATTTTAGTGTAGATTTGAGAGCAGGGGCGTAGTCAGCTTTCAGTCAGGGGGGTGCGATCGCCAAATTTTTGGGTTTCAATCAAGTGGTTGGCATGATCGTGGCATAAGCAAGGCAAAACAAAAAAATAAGATCTGTTTTGGATTTTACAAAAATTGATGCAATTTTGCTCAAAATTGAGCTAGAAGCTTAAAAAAGCATTTTAAAGCTCTTTTCTTCCACTATCTAATGGTTCTGTTTTCATTGGTTATGGAGGGGATGCGACCCATCACACCCCCCTGGCTATGGAGAGATTGTGTTACCCGTAAGCAATTCACTCATAAGGAATGGGATATTGTTTCATATAATATATTTGTTCTCTCATTAATATGCTACTGATCTCCAGATGGCAGGTTTCTAAATTAATCCAGTTGTTTCTTCCATTCTAACTTATTAACAAGAACACAAACATGTACAATATGTCCATACCAATGGATGGTCCTCGAGTTTTTATCCCCAATGCCCAATTCTTTAATAAGTTGAAAATACAAGATTTAAGGTAAAAAAATCAAAATTGCAACATCTGCCAGAATGCCCCAAAACTAATCAGTTTGAGATTTTCATACAAAGAATCACATCTGAAAAGTTGAATTCAATCTTTCAAATGGTTCATCTGTAAACGTGTAGATAAGTCTTTGCACACAAGATTCAGGATGGAAGATCCAAAATGATTGCCTTATCATTTACCCAGAATGCTTAAAATCATCCCTGAAATTTTAAAGTTTAAAAATTTTTAAATTTTAAAAGACATGGCAGATTGATATTAAGTTAAAGTTCAGCATTTATCCAAGTTTCAGTGTGATAATTTGGATCACTAGTCGAATTATGAAGCAAACAAGTGAATGTATGATCCCTGTATGTTCATGTATAACTCAGTAATACTATGTATGCCAGATAATCCATTTGAGCATCGCTATATCCAAAAAAGACATGCTAACTACTGAACTATATTCATCATGTCCATGTACCCATTGTGTGAATATCAAGTGTGGTCATTTCCATAAATATTATGAAGCATGTAAATTTGAGATTTTAGAGATAAAGTATGTAAAGGTATTATTACCACATGCAATTCAACACTTATGGATTTTCATTTAGGTGCGGAAACTGACTTTTATCAATAAGTGAAAATATATAATTTCTTTGTTACCAGCCAGCCTGAAAAAATATATAATAAATAAAAGTGATAGTTTTGATAAAAGTTAAATTACCAAAATTAGCAATAGATTTGATAATTATCAATTGTTTTTATAAATTATCAGATAATGCTAATTTCACACGGGCCCTTTTCCATGAAACATTTGCTAGAAATAGTTACCAATAAAAGTGATAGTTTTGATGTAACTAAAATTATAACTGTTAGTTATAGTTTTGATAATTATTAATATTATCTGATATTATCAGATGAACATTTTTCCTAACTTTCTTGATTTAGTGAAAATATGACAATTAGTACCTACCGGACCTACCTCCATATCTCCCTGCCATTAAGAGTCGACCCTTTTAAAGAAATGATAAATATTTCTGATATAGTTACAAAACAAAAAAATGAATGGTTTTATATTGGTCATTTTACAAAAATATAACTTAACACTACGCCATGTTTTTTTCATTTTCATAAAATATATACTGAAGGATTTAAACTACTGACTGCAAACTTCTATGATATTTTCAGTAAGGGAACATTTTATATCAATTGGAATTCACATCTGTCCTTACAAATTGATAATAAGTAAATTTAATCAATTGTTTTACCATTTTACCCCCCCCCCCCTCTCCAAATTAAATTGAGTTAAGGTTGGTTGTCCAGCCCCGGAGTTCAACATTATAACATGAGTAGCTTCACTTTTCAAAATATATAGTCAACATTTGTCAGGGAAACAACAAAGATATTTAGGTGGGGTGCAGATGAGTGTTAGGTAGATTGTCGGCTAGATTGTCCCCATTGAAAAGAATGTGAAGGATAATTTAAGTTTGACAAATTATGCAAATTTTTTACAAGTGTGGTCATACTAAAATTATAAAGCATGTCAATTTTAGATTTTAGAGATGAAGTATGAGAGCCTTGTAATTCAGCTCTTCCAGATTTACTCTGCCTTAAACTTACAATGGAATGCTATTGATTCTGATATATTTACAAAAAATGACGTAACTTCATAATTTTCATCAACAATAGAATTCAACTATATCTAGTTCTTTTATTTTTTTGCAAATCACAGCTTAAAACTAATGTTTGCAAACTCCTCCAACATAATCATTTAATAGGGTAAATTCTATATCAATTGGGATACACATATACCCTTACCAACTGCAAGTTGCGGAAAAGTTTGCAATTAATTTTTTTAGCATTGATTACCCCCACCTCTCAACATTGAGCTGTCTCGAGGCTGTTTTGGGGTCATGTAAAGTTATGAAATCAGAGCTTCATTGTTTGTGATAATTGTTACAATGACAAAATGATATCAAATTTTTAAGGGATACTAAGATACAATAGTTGATGGTGTCAGGTACAGATTGTATCACTTGATAAGGTTTTATGATTCTATTAGGCATGCATCTTGGGTGGGTTGGATCACTCAGTACCATCCTTTTACTTAACCCTTTATACTCCAGTTTGAAGCCACTTTTTAGTCATTCTTTTATCAAAATACCTAAACAGTGGCCTTTGTATCAGTCCACCTTTTAGTCATTTTAACCACACAATGACTAAACAATGGATAAGGCCACAGAGTCCACTAAATCGGAGCCAGCACACCTTTTAGAACATGCCCCAAATAACTTTCTAATCAAAGTTTGTCAGCACTTCAAATTTGGCACAAATTATCCTCACTCAATTTGTGGTGAATTTATGGAGTTTCATCAACCAGGGATTTTACAGTCATGGTCAAAATGCCTTCTTAAGTCTGCCTGAACCAGGGCGTTTGAATGCGATTTGAACGCATTTTGACCATGACTGTAAAGTCCCTGAAGTGATTTTGATTTCACTCTACAGATTTACCATACATTGAATGAAGATGATTATTGCCAAATTTAAAGAGCCAAAACACTATGGTTAGGAAGTTATTTAGTTTTTTGCGGTTGCAGTCACCTCCGACTGCCTTTTTCATATTTTCCTCGTACAACTGTCTTTTGAGCAGGTGTCCAAGGCATCATGTTTTACAATTAACCATCTACAGGAGCTATACATTCACAGTCTTTTCTTTCTTTCTGGAAAAAATGAACATAAATGAACTAGTATTTTTCAAGAAATGGCGATTTCTTTGGGTTGCGTTTTTTTTAATTTTGTGAACTTGGTGTTTTGTACCTGGTGTTCAAAAATAACAGAAAATGTCAGTTTTTGAGATAAAATGAAGGTTTGAGCTACACATATTAAGAAAACTTGTTGTGAGTGGTTATAACCTCAAAGGGCATTGATCTCCCCAGCATAAAGCTAGGGGGTGTATGACCCATCTGAGATTTTAAAAAAAAGCTTGCACCCACCTGAAAATCCCTTTGTACCCACTTGAAAATGAGATAAGTCATGAAAAATGGGCATATTTTGACCAACTTTAGTCTCGGGGAAAACTAGAGTCAGGAAAAGAGCCGAGCTACCGGGAGTCTCTTGATGTCTTTATTTCTGCAAAATTTGATGAAGAATTTAACACAAATATTTCAAATATCTAGGTTAGATCATATTAGTGTTGCTCCATTTCTCCTTAATTAGCACAAGTATTACATATATGATATCTGCCTTATTCTTATGCAAAATGAATAGAATGACGTCATATTTCATATTTTCTCCTGTGAATATCTAAAATTAGTTGTAATAATGTTAGCTTTATATAGGTTAAGAATTCAACGAGTCATGATAATAGATGTAAGAGTTGACACGATTATTTGAGACCCTTAATGTGTGTCATTATGAGACTCAAATCACGTATATGCACCACTAGTAAAATTATGAAAGGGTAAAGCAATCCTTCCGGAACCATAATTGTACATATTCATGTACATGTTCTCAGAAAAACATGCAGTTAATAATCTTCCTTATACATTCTCCTAATAGCCCCTTCCATATATCTCAACATTGGAGATCAAAACATTTAGTAAAGAATAAAGCAAGTATGAAATGCATGGCCATTTGCTTGATAATGAAATGAATTGATGCAAGGAATATTTCAATACAAATAAGTTACTTCATCTTTAATTAGGCATTGATGCGCATCAAAAGTAGATTTCATTACTTTTATGGAAGATTAAATGTGAAACAAGTAATTGTCACAGACAAAAAATAAATTTGTAATGATTTTTTGAAAGATAATTTCTAATTTTAACTTTTAACCTCTTGACAATCCAGTGACAAGATTTTAGAGCCTGGGATTCAAGAGCTTTAAGTGTGTTGATCAAACCAACTCCTTGAAAGATATTAGAAATGCTTTGTTCTTTCAGCCTGAGGTTCTTGTAAGCAGTCTTCAAGCTCTAGAAAAATCAGCATCAGGGGATGCTGTTGTGAGGGAGAAAATAGCAGCCCTACCCCCTGAAGTCTCTGACCCCTCCCTGCTATCTAAAATCACAGGTGAGAGACAATATTCAATGATGAAATACACAAAAATATCTTGTAAATTTTGTGCAACAAAAATATATTAAAAATGCCTTTATTTGATAAATTCAATGAATCCATCCAAATTAATATGAATGTTTTTACACAAATAATGATTTTTATCAGTTCTCTAGTTTGAATTAATAGGTTATCTTCCCATTCGAGTGGAACAGAGTATCAAAACAGTGCCGTGCCATGTATTTCTGTAGCTACAAGCTATTGCATCAAACAAGTATGACGGGGCGTTTTATATGATTTCTGTATATATATTTTATTCATTGTTCTCTCTTGTTAATCAATTACTAACTCTTAATTTAGAATTTGGTGAGAGGTCTTTATTTTCCATGTTATAATTTTGAAGGTTAGGCCGAAAACTGCCCAACAATACAAGTCAGCTGGTTTCCCAGACACCATGTGACAAATTATACATTCATATTTCTGATTACATAAAACTTACTACAATATAAATGACCACTTGAATTTCAACAGATATTTAGGAAGAAGTCTGAGAATATTTTAATGACCTAAATCTAATTGCTGAGTTAATGAGTACATCTCTAATTACAAAACTTAAGTTGACATTATTTTAGCAAAAGTGAAACAAAAAGTAAACATCAAATAAACAATAAAATCCCCTCGTGATACAAGACCGCTGATTTTTTAAATAAAGGATTAATCTGCCTCCAGCTGGTAACAATGACCTAATCTGTTCACTAATTCAACCAAGCAGCTTTATTATAATTGGTCCAGGGTACAGTGTCATAAATAGTCATGTGATCACTGTTCATTGACTTAAACAGGTTGTTCATTATTTCAACCTCAAATTGAGAGTTTAAAATTTATGCAAATGCTGGCTAAGTAATGTTAGCCCACTTTTATCTTCAAGGTTTCTTTGTTATGAAAGCAAACTTTTACTCATCTCTGTTGCACGATTTGTAGCATATAAATAGTCCTATGACATTTGATTTGCCACTTAGTTTCAGTGTCTTAAAGGCCGGTTTTAAACTTGCTAGCATCTCTCATTAAAATATCAGGTTACATCCACGTATACCCCATGTCCCTCTTTAATATTAATAGATTATCCTGTATTTCATTCCTCTGGTTAAGAGAGTTCATGTATTGAATGGTTTTGTAAGTTCAGGCAGCCCAACCCAAATACACTTCCTCCGGCTGATACTGAAATCAACTTATTGATAAAAAATGATATCAAGAAAAATCAAACAATTTGGATTTATCTCATGAATGTATACCTTAAATATGCTATTTACTCCAATCCTTCTGTAGTAAATACTCTAAACTTGGTCTCTATATTGGTTTCATAGTAGAAGCATGGCATTGTTGCAAAAGCAACTACTCTAAGTATAACATGATGCCTGCATGCTATTTTCCTCCCTAATTTTGCTCTTTCTCCTTTGATTATTATCTGAAAATAAGGAACATCAAAGGAGTATTTAATCCAACTGTAAACTAGGTTAAGGTTCTCACTGAACAAAGAGATGACAAGGATTTGAACGCAAATCGAACGCCCATTTTTGGTGTTGCTCATTGTTTGGTATAAAAGGCGCGATCCCAGAATAATACTCAAGGGTTCACAGGTTGAAGTCACTGCGTAAACACCTCTGCCTGTTTATGTAGGAATAATATATAAGGGTTATGTACTGGGAGGTTTTGGATACAGATTTATCCCAAGGGAAATATGTGTATATTCCGAGGGACCGCAGGAACCGAGGGATATACACATATTTCCCGAGGGATAAACCCTGTATCCAAAACCGACCGTACATAACAGATGTATTTCATACCTACTGATGTTCTAGGTACGTCATATACCTTATAAAGTTCCAAAATTCAAAAATATACTTAAGATACGCATTTTCTTGGTGTTATACAGTGTTTTTTTAAGTTTCTGAGATTTTCAAACTCATATAACTCATATTTTGAAAAATAAAATTTGAAAAAAAAATTTGAAAAAAATGTGAGAAAAAATATTTGAAAAAGAATGGGAAAAAATTTGAAAAAGATTCAAAATTTTTTTTTTTTTAAATTGTGAAAAAAAATTTCAGGAGCGGGACCGGGCCTTGGCTATCCCGCCCCGTGCCTTGGCTAGATACAGTATATATTCCCGCTCGTTATGTACCTAGAACCTCAGTAGGTATGAAATACAGTAAAAATCATCACACATTTACAAAAGAGATTTTTATTTTGACAAATCAATTTCACATTTTATGGGTGAGTTTCAAGATCTTCTATTTGTGTTTTTTCTATTCTATTCTTCTATTTGGAAAAATGGTCTTATGAAATGATCCTGTAAATGAAACATTATAAGGCAGTTTTGATTAGAACAAGGATTTTTATTGGCTGATGCACATGCATCCTTTAGATAATTCATTCTCCCAATGTTCATAGAATCATTGTAAACAGATTATTTTATTTCAAGACGATTACAATAAAATTGCAAAACTCCCCTAATTTCTTAAAAATAGACTGATCTAGAAGACTCGCCTCGAGCTACCATATTGTTTTTATACGGGAAGCTTATTGTAACCCTTTAAGAAATAAAACTGATTTAGGTACCAGAAGCTTATTGTAACCCTTTAAGAAATAAAACTGATTTAGGTACCAGAAGCTTATTATGACCCTTTAAGAAATAAAACTGATTTAGGTACCAGAAGCTTATTGTAAACCTTTAAGAATAAAACTGATTTAGGTACCAGAAGCTTATTATGACCCTTTAAGAAATAAAACTGATTGAGGTACCAGAAGCTTATTGTAACCCTTTCAGAATAAAACTGATTTAGGTACCAGAAGCTTATTATGACCCTTTAAGAAATAAAACTGATTGAGGTACCAGAAGCTTATTATGACCCTTTAAGAAATAAAACTGATTTAGGTACCAGAAGCTTATTGTAACCCTTTAAGAATAAAACTGATTTAGGTACCAGAAGCTTATTGTAACCCTTTAAGAATAAAACTGATTTAGGTACCAGAAGCTTATTATGACCCTTTAAGAAATAAAACTGATTGAGGTACCAGAAGCTTATTATGACCCTTTAAGAAATAAAACTGATTTAGGTACCAGAAGCTTATTGTAACCCTTTAAGAAATAAAACTGAGTGATGTACCAGAAGCTTATTATGACCCTTTAAGAAATAAAACTAATTTAGGTACCAGAAGCTTATTGTAACCCTTTAAGAAATAAAACTGATTTAGGTACCAGGTGCTGTAAGTAAATTCAACCTATTTGTACTACTACTTACACCAAGTTAAACCTATTACACCCACTTGAGAATTTGGTTTATAAGAAGATTATAAGCATGGTAGATGAGATCTCTGCATTCCATAGAGCAAATGAGTGTGTGACACCCACTTGATAACTGAGGCTCACATCCTTTTGAAAACTCATTTTACTCTTAATATACCCTTTGCATTCGTTTGACTTCACTTCTTAAAAGAGAGCTCCGTCTTCTGTAGTTTAACTAGACTCTGCACGCAGGGTACTCTTAATAATGAAAAAGGAAAAAAGTTTCATAGAAATGTGAAAAATAACAATCTTGCACCTTTCATGAATGAATTCCGGGTGATGACATTGCATGGAGAAACTGCTCATACCTTTTCATGTCACCACCAAAAAGTGGTGACATATTGTTATGGTCTCTTTTTAGATGGCAGTTGGTGGTTGGCGATCGTCTGTAACAAATTTTTACAACTTCCAATAACTTAACAAAAACTTTTTAGACTGAATTCAATTTTTTTAAATCATCTACAAGTTTTTAGAAGTTTAAATCTGACTAAATATTTAAGATTTGACCTTCTATGACCTTTTAAAGGTCAAAAAGGTCTTTTTTCAAATTGACTAATTTTTTTTCACGATCATCTACACGCTGTTTCGAGATTTGACCTGCAATGACCTTCTGAAGATAAAAAAGGTCAAAATGGTATTTTTTCGAAATCATTAACAAGTTCTCAAAAGTCAATCTGACTATAGATTTGACCTTCAATGACATTGTCAAGTTCAGAAAAAGATTTGACCTTCTCAAAGTCAAAAGGTCTATTTTCATCTTGCTTCATTGACCAATTTTTTTTCAAAATTTTCTACAAGTTCCCAGAAGTTCAAATCTGACTTAAGATTGAACTCATAATATTGTCATAGCAACTAGGTGGTGACATTTTGTCATGTTAATGCCTTGTTTAATTTTAAAAGACAATTGATCAATGATCTATACCAGACATTTAATAATAGAAGCTTTTAAGAGAGGTTGAATAACAAGACATGTGGAATAAAGAGAAGCTTAATAATCCACTGTCTGTCATCCAGGCAATAATTCTAATTGAGTTTACAGATTTGGTTCATATTTAAATGCCATGGCATAGTGACCTTTTCTCTAGAAGGAATTTCGAATTACACTCACACAATTTGAAACATGTACCATTTTCATGAAAATGTTATCTTTGAGAAATCCAATACATGATGATAGTTTTGGTTCAAACCCAGGCCTATTTGCTTAGCCTGAGCTACATAGGACCATTGGAGATTTTCAAGGTGGCTGCATTCACTGAATTCCAAATGTAATTTTTGATTTATTTACTTCCGTACTTATCAGATTTGGTCCAAACAGACTTATTCTTATTGGAATAAAGAAGAGATATGGATGCACAATTCAAAATGTCCACAATTATTTTGTAAAAAAGTTAATTTCAACTCGAATCAGTTGTCAGATTGCATGTTGTGATTAAGATTTTATGTGAATAGGACTCTATTCAAGAAGGAATTTCAAAAAATTGCTGCTCAAACTTCTAGATTTTTAGAAGAAAAAATTATATTTTTGAATAACTGACATACTGGTTATTGTCTTTTCATAGGCTGAAGCTTCATGGGAGAGGATCTCTTCTGGAGGAGGAATATCAAATATAGTGTTGTGTCACATATAAAGGGTGTCGATTTTGCAAAAAGAGACACTCGATTATTTCTATGAGATCTTCAAAATGATGGGTGATTTAAAAAATGTTTTGTTTAGTTGGCTTTGTTACTTTAGGAAGTTGCATCTTCAATTCTAATCCTGATTACTGACTTTGTAATATTCTTCAAATTGGCTAAATCTGATACTAATGGGGAGATTTGCTAAAAGCACATACAGTAATTATCCCATCGAAAGTTTGTATGGATATAGAGAAGCCGTCCATACAGTCTATCCATTCGTCTGTCCTTTCATTCTTGTGTTAGGGCAATAACTCAAATACCGGTTTACTGATTTGGTTCAAATTTTATTGGCTTAAGGGTGTGAAATTTTGCTTAAGAATGAAGTTTCAATATGGCAGCTCAATTCAAAATGGCCACCATTTTCTTGTAAAAAAATATAACCCTATGATAATTCAAGAAGACCAATGAATTTCAAAATGGCCAATTTCAAAATTTTATGCAAAAAACAACATGATTTTCAATAACTCAAATACCAGTTTATGGATCTGGTTCAAATTTTTATGCTAGGGATAAAGGAAGTCTGCTCGAGAAAAGATTTCTTATGCTGATGCCTCAAGACAAAGGAGCTCTGCTCAGCTTTGATAAATCAAATAGAAGTGGATGGATTTGGTTCAAATTTTATATGCTGACACCGTGGGATATAGTTCAAGAAAATTTTCAAAATGGCCACTATTTATCAAAACGTTTTGTTCGGTGAGCTTTGCTATTCTGTGGAGTTGCTGTTTTCTAGTTATTTATTGAAAGTTTTGGTGACATGCCAGCTCGTTATAAATACATTAAGTTGTATTTAAGTGCCTTTGGGATATTTAATACACCATTATGCCATGGCACACTCAGCCTACCTATATTTGTACCTTGCAGATAATTTGAAACGTGTACTTATATCTTGACACTGATGTTTTGTAAGCAATGAAACCAGTTGTAGGCAAACCTTTTGATGGATTGATTTTAAACCAACAGAGATGCTTCTTCTTTATAAACTGATTAGGCCTGTTTGTTAGTTCATATCCAACAGTTTTGTGATGTTGTAATGCCACCTGTCACATCTATGGTCATGTTTAGATAAATTGTTGCTTTATTATCCCACTATACAAAACAAAGTTCATGAGGGATATAGGAAATCCATCCGTTCGTCCATCCGGGCGATAACTCAAATACTGGTTTACAGTTTTGATTCAAATTTTATAGGCTTGTGCCTTATGGGTGTAGAACTTCTGCTCGAGAAGGAATTTTCAATATGGCCACTCAATTCAAAATAGCCACCATTTTTCTTAAAAAATGTAATCTTTAATACTCAAATACTACATGTATTAGATAGATTTCGTTCAGGTTTTATATGCCCTGGGACAATGGAGCACTGCTTAAGAAGAGATTCTCAAGATGGTCACTAAATTTCAAAATGGCCGCCATTTTTTGTAAAAGAACATAATCTTTGAAAACTCAAATGCCTATTGACAGCTTTGGTTCAAGTTTTATATGTTGATGCCAAGGGACAAAGAAGCTCTGCTAAAGATGACATTTTCATGATGGCCATTGAATTTCAAAATGGCCACCATTTTTCATAAAAAACCTAATCTTTGATGACTCAAATACCAGTGGACTCATATGGGACAAACGAGCTTTGCTCAAGAAGGAATTTTCAAGTTGGCTGTTGAATTTTAAAATGGCTGCCATTTTTTGTTAAAAAACATTTTCTTTGATAACTTAAATATCAGTGAATGGATTTGGTTCAAATTGTATATGCTGATGCCTAGGGACAAAGGAAATCTGGCCAAGAGGAATTTTTGAAGATGACGCACAGCTTGATAAGTCAAATACCAGTGGATGGATTTGGTTCAAATTTTATATGCTGATGATTAGAGATAATGGTGGTCTGGTCAAGAAGTCATTTTCAAGATGGCCACTATTTATCAAAATGGCTGCAAGTATTAAGTTGGGTATATATTTATGAATATGACTCTTCTTCAAGAAATTGGAATATTTTACAGGGTGGGGCAAGAAACAATACCCATGTTTAAGCATGAATATCATATGACAAACATTTAACCATGTCATGTATTCAATTAATATCAATTTAAAGATAAATCATTTCCTACCAATATGACACCATCTGATATTCACTGCAGATTTCCAAATTGTGAAAAATGGAGGAAATTAGAACTTTTGCCCCTTCAAAAGAGGTACATTTATTCAAGTTTAGTGCAAATTTCACCAATAATACATATATATTTTTAATTAATTATGAATTGTGTATAACTCTTAAATATATTTGTGATAGTCCCTAGATCTGCTTGTTGTGAATAATAAACAAAATAACAATATGATTTAGATGTAAATAATATTATAATATATTTATTAAATTCACAAGTTTGGTATATAAAACTGATGGGTGGAGGGGGAATGGGTGGCACTTTTAACCATCCAAAGTGTTTTTAATAATTCTAGTACAAATAATAAAAAATATAATGTCCACTAATGTGTACTATTATGTGTCACAGACAGTCGCCCCACAAAACTTCTTATCTGGTATAAGAGATAATTTATGATGATTCAGTCAAGCATATTGATTGCAGCTGTGGCTGCAATATGGAGGGAAAATTGAGGATTTTCATTTTTTTTTTATTGTTGGTCGATCATGGTACCACTAGTGTCAATTTTAGCCTCTAACTCCACAAGGAGAAAAAAGGTTTTTCAATTGAATGGTGTCATATTGTTAGGAGATGATTTATGTTTAGAATGATATATAATACATGCATGGTTTAACATATATAATATGCATCATTCATCTTTATACTTGGGTATTGTTTTTTGGCCCACCCTGTACATATTGAGACAAACTACATGTGCATAAATACAACATATTAGTATTCATCATTAATACTTTGTCAAGGGATGTTGTTAATCATAGTTTTTATATGGGAATTCCTGTTAACTGTTTTTTCTTATATTTTGCTAGATGCTGCTGAGGCAAAAAAGTTGATCAGTATGGTAGACGATGCTTGCACCCTATTAGCTGATTATAACAGTCGTCTTGACAACGAACTAGAAGATCGAAAACGAGTTGGCAAAATGATGCGGGAATATGTTGTCACACAGAAAAACTCTCTTGCAAAGAGAGAAGAAAAGCTTAAGGTATTTTTATCGTTTAATACCCTTTGATACATTTTTATTTCATGAAAATATACTGAAGCCTGATGTCTTATCTCCACACATGATATTTATCACAAAACCATAACGTTGCTCAGAATGAAACAACATATTTAAACTTGACAGTTTTTACATTCCTCTACAAAAAAGTACTAATGTATCTCATTGTTTTGGCTTTGTTTACCTCATTAATTTTGCCTCATTTACATCATTGTTTTTGTCTCATTTACATGATCATTTTGCTTTGTGTACCTCACTGTTTTGCCTCATTTACATGATCATTGTGCTTTGTGTAGCTCATTGTTTTACCTCATTTACATGATCATTTTGCTTTGTGTAGCTCATTGTTTTGCCTCATTTACATGATCATTTTGCTTTGTGTAGCTCATTGTTTTGCCTCATTTACATGATCATTGTGCTTTGTGTACCTCATTGTTTTGCCTCATTTTGCTTTGTGTAGCTCATTGTTTTGCCTAATTTACATGATCATTTTGCTTTGTGTAGCTCATTGTTTTGCCTCATTTACATGATCATTGTGCTTTGTGTACCGCATTGTTTTGCCTCATTTACATGATCATTGTGCTTTGTGTACCTCATTGTTTTGCCTCATTTTGCTTTGTGTAGCTCATTGTTTTGCCTCATTTACATGATCATTTTGCTTTGTGTACCTCATTGTTTTACCTCATTTACATGATCATTTTGCTTTGTGTACCTCATTGTTTTACCTCATTTACATGATCATTTTGCTTTGTGTACCTCATTGTTTTGCCTCATTTACATGATCATTTTGCTTTGTGTAGCTCATTGTTTTGCCTCATTTACATGATCATTGTGCTTTTTGTACCTCATTTTGCTTTGTGTACCTCATTGTTTTGCCTCATTTACATGATCATTTTGCTTTGTGTACCTAATGGCTAGATGCCTAGATGTTTTGCCTCATGTACCTCATTGTTTCATCTTGTTCATTCCAGGAATTCAAAGAGAAATTATCGAAAGTGACGACTGTACGTCAAGAACTGAAGTCACATATAGAAAACCTACCTGATCTGACATTACTCCCTGATGTGACTGGAGGTCTCGCACCTCTCCCCTCTGCTGGGGATCTCTTTTCAGTGTGACATTTTACACAACAAATACAACTTAATAGTCTCAGTACAAAATGGAAATTGATGAGAATTAGTGTGATCAGCAAGAAGTGGTGGAAATATGGGTGTTTTCAACACTCTTAATTGTGAAGAGATTTGAGGGAATTCAAGTGATGGGTAGAAAAAAGGGTGTAGATATATATAAGTCTAGAATCAACATACATTTAACTTAATATTTTACATTGGAAATTCATTGCATCGTTATTTTTAAAAGGTTCATTTTTATAGGGTTTAGTGGTAACCAGATGGAATTATTGAAATATGTTTATGGCTGAAACTTGCAATTGTACAGGAATGCCAGAAAATAAAGCAGTTAATATTTCAGTTTTAGAGAGAAAATGTCCTAATAAGGCAGGGTTACTTAGAGGGAATGGGGAATTCACAGATGCCATACTAGTAGTCTTGCATAAGACCAAGTACATGTTTATGTACATCTCCTAATCCTCACTCTATCGCAGGCTTGGAAAAATGAGGTGTACTGAGGATAATAAAAAAATTTTAAAAAATGGTATCAATGAAAAAAGAAAAATAGACTAATTCAGTTTTCCTGGAACAAAGTATGCACTCTAGGAATTTTTATAAGGATTATGAAGGAGTCAAAAACATTCTAAAATTTAGACAATTTATTGTTTTCTTGCTCGCTAGATCTGATTCTTTCTTTTAATCTTTAATTGATTTATACAGGGGCCTAGTTACAAAGGGCACAAAGGGAAAGTAATCCTATGGAACTGTGTTCATGTTCCTGGAAACAGTGCTTATTCCCCTTTTTAAATGAGTTTATTGATAGAATATCACCTGTAAAGAGAGACAAAACTCAGTTTTGTAATAAAATATAATATTGCACAAATATATTTTATAATGTTTTGTCTACATACTGATGTTGGGTCTACATTGATTATTGATGTATTGCTTATTGATAAATTGCATTGCTTATTGATATATTGCTTGTCAATATATTGCTTATTGTATGTAATTCTATTTGCAACAAACACTTCTAAAATGTTTTAGATAATTCAAAAACATCTCACAATTCACATCTAGATAACATAACAATATATGCTAAAGTGGTTTTAAGTTTTGTTCGATGAATTATAAAAATAAACTTTAACAATCTGAAGAAAGTAGGTTCTCGCAATGTGTAATAAGTTTTATGTAAAAAGAAGACGTATTGCATTGACAGGAAGTTCTTAGATATCGTAAACATTTCTTCCATCATATTGCAAACAATAGGCATAACAAACAGACTAAGACTTTTAACATTCAATAAATCAGAGATTGTCGTTAGAAATAATTCTTACAAGTGGCCTTGTGCATGGCACTCATGTTTCGTTGTTTTTCTTTAGCTTTAGCTATTCTGATCTGATGACTAGCTTTGTAATAATATAATAGTACAATAACGTCATTTCAAAGGGCAATATAGTGAAATATTGGACCAAGGGCCGCAGGCCCAAGGTCCAATATTTCACTATTTTGCCCGCCGTTAATGCCCAGGGCTGAAATAGCAAATTTGAAATAGAAAATCTTTCGCATCTGTTTTCACAAACATAGCATATCGGTTACATATTTATTTCCAGGATTTAGCTACATGGACATATCATCACCCAGGCCATCCATATGCCTTTAGGCCTTTACTGTAATCCGGGGCAGATTATTTTTTCTCTCCAAAAGTCACTGGTCATAAACTCTTATAATAGCTGTTCATTTCAGATTTCTTCAGCTGTCAGTGATGTGAGCTCTGGAATAAAACATTAATTATGTTAATATGCAGTAAAAATTAAAAAAGGCAATTAAATTTTGACCTGTGAATCTTTCATTCATCAAAATTGACCAGTGAAAATCAAAACATAGTGATAAAAGTTCCATCTTTTGAGCAGAGATAAAATGTTTTAGATTTTGTTGAAATCAAAATTAAGCCAAGAATCAAAATGAAATAGCAATAATGAAAACCAGTCATTGACATGCAAAATGTAACCACATGCCATTTGTTACAGAAGCCAACCATCCACAAAAAAGGTGTACACTATAACAATATGTCACCACTTGTGGTGATGACAATAAAAATTGAAAATCAAAACTAAGCAGTGAAAATTTCAGAATTTGCAACTTCATTAGTTAGAAAAGTTTCAGGTGTTCTAACTAATGAAATGGACAAACAATAAGAAATATGAAACCAAATAGGAAACTGAAGCTCTATTAAAATCCACCCAATGATATTGCCAGTCCTCAGAAAATTTTAATTACAAATACAAACTGATTTAAATTTGAGCAGAAATGTCCTTAAATCTGAAACTTTGAAATTATAGTTGACCACTATTAACTAATTGAGTTCAGAATCCAAACAGTTGTATGAGGTCTATAAAAATAACATTAAAATTACATTGAACTAAGATATGTAATAAGGCCCAACTGGGCTAATTAATCTCCAATTGGTACATACTTATCTAAATGGCTCCTATATTACAAGTGTTTGACCATGTGGTGCTTTAATAACATCCCTCATTATAATTAAGAAACGTTCAATAAAGGTATATCAAGTTACATATCCTTCATGAGCACTTAATAACTCAGGAAATGAAATAGATGCCATTTTTAGATGAAACTAGAAAAACAGTAACTTGATCTACGGATAAGCAAATCCCAAGGATCCTACCGACCCTCGGTGAACTCATCTGTCATTCATAAGTTGATTAAACCATACTTTTTTGGTGTTTAACTATTTCAAAATACTGATGAATTTTTACAAATATATCATCAAACAGTATTTCACTTAAAGGTAAAATGTTGGATACTTGAAGAAAAAATTTGGGGACCATATAATAGTAGCTTTATAATGATATTATAACATTCAGACTAGTAAAGGGTCAGTGCATATTTTTCTTTTTTGCAAATGGTTACCTTCGTTGATGAAGCCCTAGAGTAGCTGCCCATACTGCTTTGATACATGTCCCTTTCCCTGCCCTGAAAAACATATACCATATATTATACATGTTACACACTAGGAGGAAATAGATATCATGTATATTCGGATATCATGGTTGCCTTGCCCTCAGGACTTTGCTCTTGGGATGGGATGGGTCAATGTTCAGAAGATTTTAGTCCATGTCCAATTATGGTCTTAAAACTACCCAAATGCATGCGTAGAATATGATCTTAGACTTACATTTTTCTATATGCTATATCTATATCAACGACACATGGCATTGACACGCAAAATGTCACCTTTGCCATTTGTTATAGATGCCAGATGACGACCGCTGAACACCATCCACAGAAAGATGGAGAATAAAATATGTCACCACTTCTGATCGGGTGACATAAAGATAGTTATTCAACAGAAGGGATAAAATATGGTTATTATTCTGATTTCTTGGGACAAAGGGAGCTAATGGCACAAATGTCAATTTGATATTGTTTGAAATAATTGTTATATTTTAACAAGAAATGAAATCCTCCATGATATCAATAACCACGAAGTAACTTATTACCTCTAAAATGTGTAGCTTATTAGGCTAATACAAATCTGAAAAGCTTTCCAATTATGGAGGTGTTCCAACTGTCAATTGAACATAAAATTTCTGAGAATGTGACTTACTTTCCCTGAGCTGAGATGTGTAATTGCAGTGAGTATTTGACGTCTAGAATCAGAATGATCAATCCCTAGTTCACGGAGATCAGCCTCAGTTAATGTCAGAAATGCCTCCATATCAACTTCCTGTTCCTCGAATATTGGTTTGTAGCATTCCAATGACAGCTTGCTCAGGACTTGACTAATGTCATCTAAAAGCACAATTAAAACTGGCATTGGTTAAAGTTTTTTGTCATGGTTAAATGCAGCATAATATTAAGTGAACTGTTTTCGGTACTTTCACTATCTGCAAATTTATCTTATACCCTTTCAGATGGTGAAGTTTTGCTTTTCGAGGTCAAAGCCTTTATAAACAACCCAGTTACTGAAAACCTATCTATTTTTGTCACATTTTCATCTGACCTGCTGTGCAGTGAACGTGAAGAGTAGTTAATAGACTACAATGTATTTGATGATTTCAGGTGGGTTCTAACACTTAAAAGAGAGCTTCACACAACCCAATGCACATGTGAGAAGATTTCTATTGACAATGTATTGACAACATTTTCTAATATACTAAAGATGAAAATTTGTAAATCGAGATGGAAATATGATTTTCGCCTATTACGCCTATTACATGGTTTAACAACGTAGGAAAGAGAACAAGGGGAAAGATCAGAGGTACAATCAGAGTGTTTAATAAAAATGTAAAAAATTATTCAAGTTATTATTAAAAGATGATGAATTGTCCAAACATTGAAGGGTTAAGACATTGAACAAGGTTCTTAGCCCAAAAAATAGCAAAAGACATATATCATATTTCAATGCCAAATAAGTGATATTTGATGGTTTGTTTTTTGGTCTGAGTGGGATTCTTTATAGTATTATCATGTTGTTAAATAATACAATATTCAAAATGAAATCTATAACTTGTATCGAGGAAACAAGAAACTTCATCAAAGGATAAACAGCTGTAATTCTACTCTTTAATTCGCAATGAATAATATGTCAAATATATGATCAAAGGCTTGGAATCTGAGAATGCTTGGACATACACATGTAACACAACACCTATATTACTTTTCTGCAATATTGAAACTTGAAAAACAAGTTCATAAAGAAAGTGAATTGATAGCCTTTGAAACTGCAAGAAATACTTTTTATTGCTTGCAAGGCGAGGAATTCTTCTCAAGATCTGGTATTTTCAGAAAAGTTGGTCTATTTAATCTATTGAATCTAAAACTGATGGATATTGAAGTTTAACCTCTTGAATTCCAGGCTCTAAAATCGGTTGAAACTTTCCTCTCTATCTGCCATGTTAACTGACACAAATAAGACACCTGGTGGTGAAATTGGTAACTACCTACTGGCATATCTGGGTTTAAATATTGAATAGGATAGTTTCTAAATACCATATTTTATTCAGCTTTTAATTTGGGCTAGAGTTCCATTCACTTACATGCTAAAATCTTGAAAAAGTGGCTTAATTTCATGATTTATCAAAGAGTTTTAGTTGAATCTATATAAAACTTGAATGATATACCACATGATGACCCTGTTTATGTACATGTTGTGATTAAACATGCAAATGTTGGTTGACATACAAATAATCCAAGGTTTTAAAGAATTTTAGCATTGCATCTATGGTGATTTGGCCCAAGTTTTTTTAAATTGTCATATAAAATTATTCAAATTACATAACTGTGTAAATCAAAGCTAATATAGGAGAAAACAGATCACTGAGATTGAGCGAGATTTCAAAAGCTTTATGGAAACTATACTATTGCAAAAGAAAATTTAAAATTGCTTGTTAAACTTATGTGAATTATCATTAGTGTAAGTAACTTTTAATCCCACTCAATCAGACAACATCATCATTTCCTTGAATCATGATCCAAAAAATAGTGAATCCCGGAACTGGATCAGCACATGTCCAAACATGTGAATTACATCTGTAGGCCCCATTGAAATATTAAACACTACTCTTATTATTGTTTTCCATTATGCTTATTGAAAGCCATCTACACAATAAGACATGGATAAAAGCATGACAATCACCAGTTTCCTGGCAAACCTTTTGTGGGTGTTTTTGAGGTTATTTTTTATTTGCATAATGAATCATAAGATTGTATCTATGAAGGCTTTAGCCTGAAACCATTTCAGTTCCCTTCTGTGCGAAATGTTTTAAAAAACTAAAGAGAGTAAAAACAGTGAAATCAGCAAGGAAATAGGAAATATAAGGCATGAAAATAAGTAAATTTTGGGGAGATATGGAGTGGAATATGCAGATGACATAATAAAATTGTTTTGATACCTTCGTCAGATTCAAGACTAGTGCGTTTAGATGATTGTCCAGGATCTGATTGTCCCTTTTCCCTTTTCTCCACAGTAAACATCTGAAAAGAAAATTAGACATGTTTAGCAAAAAGTGCAAAAAGTGCCATTTGCAACATCAGAAAATCAACAGGCCAAAATGTCATCACCTCCGAATGGTAAAAAATATGTATAGGAGTTGAGTGATACTTTACTAATCTATGTGCATAAAAAGAGGTTAAAAAACTCTACATGGTTAAGTTCAAAGCCTTTTAGCTAATACAGAGAATTTGGGTATTTCAGATTTCATTGTAGAACTTACTAATGGTGCACCTAAAAAGAAGATTCTTCTACTTAACAAAACTAGAAAAACAGCAACTCCATGGGAAGCAAATCCCACTGAACAAAACAGTTTTGTCCAAATTACCTTAATGCTAAGAGGAGTAACAAAGAAATGCAATCAATGAACTAAAACATCCTCAACTCTGCAGGAACATAGCCACAAGGGTCCAAAAATAGACGAGACAAAGGTAATGCAAATAAAAAATGTGAGTCAAATTTATGCCTATCAGAGTAGCATTTTTCGTGCCACCCTGTATATTCATACAATTTTAGACGTAAGTTGTTAACTGCATGCCTTAATTTACTTCATATCTCGCTAATTCCACACATTTTCCTGCTTATTATTGGAATTGAGAATTACATCAAATAATGCATAATGCTTAAGGATTCGTCACACTGAAGTTAAAATTAAATATTCAAGACAACCTACATGTACCTATCTACCCACTCTAATATGAGGCCATAGACATATAAAACATATATGTCTCTGATGAGGCCAACTGTTTCTCAGCAGGTCAATAGGATAAATCAACTTGAGAATGGCAATAAAATATGTCGATGTGACTCAAAACAAATTAAATCGTAATAAGAGAAATATAACTATTGACATTTAGGATGAATTGTTGACACAACCAGACAGAAAATTTATATGTGTGTCAAACCCTAAATAAAATAGGAAATGTGATGACAGAAAAAATATTTTCACACTTTCTAGTTAAGATGACATTAAAGTTAATCAAAACTACAAAAAAATGACAGTCATATTTTTTTGATAAAGTCACAAGATTTTGTATATGTTTTCCTTATAAATGTATGTGAATGCATTTCCTGACTTAAGAGACACGTCAAAGAAAACATCACATTTAAACGCATTTTTCATAACTATGAATCGGAGGTGCATGGATCCCCAAAGCTAGCATGAAGAGTGTGAAGTGAGGCTAATTTTTGAAAGTTTCAAGGAGCTACTTCTAGACTTCCTGATTAATCCTCATACAAGTTTTGTGAATACACCAAGTGGCATGGATTATAACGTGTATATTTTACAGTATAATTATCATGATAGATACATGACTGAGGCTTTATGAATGATAAACAATGGATACATGAATGAGGATTACTCTGGACTAGAAAATAGTACCAGCAAACAAAATGATGGACATTAAATATTTAGAATTCACAATGGTTTGAGCTTTATTATACTCTAACACTCCTTGGTAAGGTAAGATGACTTGTGGAAATTTTGGAGCAATACAAATGTGACACCGAAACACCCCTACTTCTTGAAGTTTTCAAAAATTAACCTAATTTCACAGTTTTCATGTTAGCTTTACGGACCCATATACCTAGAATTCATAGTTATGAAAATACGTTTATGTGTGATGTTAACTTTGATATACAATTCATATACTGATTTTAAAACCATGTGTCTTTATAAAAAAAATATGACTGCCATTTTTTGTACTTTTGATTTATTTAGCCTTCACCTTAATGAAATGTCAATGATGACACACTAGAAGAAAATTAAGTATGAAGCATATAAGACGCCTGCCACCTTAACAGTAGGGATATGTATACCTGGAGATTTGGGGTGGGGGAAGGTGAGGGGGTAAGGGTTGAGGTGGTGCTGCCATCTTTCTTTCTGCTGCCACTTTTGAGCGTCTGGGCACTACTCCCACTCGTTGAGCTACTGGGGGACGTGGTGCTAGCTGTTGACCCATTAACTCTGGTCCTACATACACATATTTTTCATCATTTATTACGATTTAAAGTGTAAATAGCTAATTTCAATAACAGTTTTTATCACATGGTTGGGAGTTTTTAAGCATTTTGATTGGTCAATTTTGACAATGCATATTCCGTATCACATGAGTAATTTTCCTGTGTCGTGAACTGCATCACTACGGAATCAATGGCAATGATAAGACGTCATTGTTTATATCACTTCACAGGTGAAAACAACTACATTATGTCATATTGTTTAGGCCCTAATGCAATATTGAAGCTTGTCATAGTCTTTATACTAACATATTCTTATATTAACATAGCATATTCTCCAACATTAAGATGGATGATAAACAGGACGACCCTAAAAGATTCATTCTTTTCACTGATCAAACTCCTAAACATGTGATGAAATCATCATCACACATTTCAGCTTATATGATTCAGGAAATACTCTATTTAGGCAGCAATGTATCGCCACTCAAGCTTCGCTTTCTTGGATGATAAAGTGTTACTTTTCGTGGAATATTTCCTGTATCACTTGCTTTATGCTGTGGTCACACTTGCCGTGTAGGCTCACTGTTCGCCACCGTGTGGCTAATTATGGCAAGACGGTGACGATTCAGCGACGGTCGCATTTATTTTTGAATTTATGACCGGGTTTATACCGTGCTATACCGGGTCTGCACCGGCTTTATACCGACCTAGTACCGGGCTAACGTGTTTAAAGAGTAGTGGCTTACCATTGTCACCGTGTTTTCAACGGGTTTATACCTTCCTTTCACCGGGTTTTCACCGGTCGGAACGCATTGGTAACGCATTGGTACCGCCAAACCGCATTGAAAACGTCATGAAAACGCTCTCTATAAATCACTCATCTTTGGGACTTGTCTGTATGTGAACATAAGTTTGGACATCTGCCTACTCTTTTCAATTTATTGTGGGTATACCTGTGCGTATAATTTTCAGCTTTGTATCAGATTAGTGACATAATGTCTGCCCGAGGAAGACGTGAAAAGGGGGAAAAACAAAGCCAGTTAATGAGGAGATGAAATAAACCAAAAATAAACAGCTTGATGAGCATAACGGGGTCAACCCAGTTGTCCGAAACCCAGTTGTCCGAAACCCAATTCTCCGAAACCCAGTTGTCCGAAACCCAGTTCTCCGAAAATTAGGGGATCTTATCAAAAAATACAATTTCTTATTTCGAATTTTGTCGCAACCTTTGCGAATAACTACAGCATAACATGTGAATCACGTTGACATCATTGCAAAATTAGGCTAAATATGCTAAGTCAAGACGTAATTTAGCCCACGAAAGTTCATGGGTAACTTGAGAACTACAAAATACAACCAAATACTTTTCGAACGTAGGCCTACAATAGCAATATTTCTCACCTAACGTCTTCATAGTTTTAGGAACGTATTTTAAACGCATGATAGCCAAATATATCAAGATACTATATCTGCCTAAATGAAGTTATCTAGTGTTGACAAAGTTTTGAATATATTTTATTCAGATCCATCAGAAATTAACTTATCCAATCGGTACTTTACTAGTTCTAGTATCTTGCATGACTCGTTCATAAGAATTCTTTAATTCTACCTCGTTCCCAATACATCCTCAGACAGACAAGAAATTGAAGTCACACCCGTTTGTTTGCGTGGCATATTTATACGTATACGCACTTTCTCTGATTATTGTCAAACAAATACATTTCAGGAGAAGAACCGTTAAAAAAACAAATGCCTGAAACGAATGCCGAAACATAAATCCCAAGTGATTAAGTTTAGAATGTTTTATTCTTTTACGATTTGATAAGAGATTGAGACTAAGAAATTAAACGCGACGAAATATTTTGACAACGTAATTTGTATAAGCTTACTGTTTTATTCTTAAGGTTTTATGCGATAACTTATTTTATCTGTTTCAAAATGTTTCATTTTATTTTGCCTATATAAAAGAGATTGAAGAAGATAAGATAAACTGTTCCGTAATATATATTGTGTTTTAATAACCTTTTTTAGAACCACAATGTAAAATAAATCTCCCGTTCCTGCCATTCTGGTAACGCCATGCAATGGATGCAATTCAAAGTGAGAGAGAGATCTATGAATATCAGAATGCGCCCATGGCATTAATTTGGCCAAATACATGGCATGAAACTGACGTAAGCTACGCCCCCCCCCCTTTCTCTGGTAAATTATGACTTTATTTTTCGGAGTAATGGGTTTCGGACAACTGGGTTTCGGAGAACTGGGTTTCGGACAACTGGGTTTCGGAGAACTGGGGTGTACCCGAGAATAACACCCAATCATCTGAAGATGAAGAGAAATCCACTCCTAAATCCTCTCCGAAGATACCTGTACCCAAAAAGGTATACAAACTTAACTACATTGGAATTGAGGAAGATTTACTAGAGTGGATACAAACAGAATTCCTCTCCGAAGATACCTGTACCCAAAAAGGTATACAAACTTAACTACATTGGAATTGAGGAAGATTTACTAGAGTGGATACAAACAGAAGAGAACGATTTCCTATGGAACACAAGAAGAACAGATTACAGATTACCAGACAAAAAAAGAGCACGCTTTCAGCAGAAATTTAGAGGGTGAGTAGTCTTTAATAATACAGACGAACTCAAATGAACACATTGTGTGTGTGTGTGATTTTTTACATTAAATTGTTTATAACTAGGGCTTAGAAGGGTTTATTGTATTGCTCTTGGAGGACATATTCATAGATAAGGTGTAGAACGTGTACGTATCAAATCATTGTTCCTTATGGACCATCTTCATCCAACTGAGTGGCCTTTGATTGATTGATTGAAGGTCTGACAAAAAGTTGTATTAAGCTACCACTTTTAACCAAGTAGCGAGTTGGACAACAAATCCCCGGGGCTATGATAGTGCAGGTTTACGGTCATGTTCCCTCAAAAATGTGTAAATGTTTTTATTAATTCTGATCAATGACGAAGTTAGTAAACTGGTTATACAAGCCAAATTGTCTGCGACGTTTCACCCATTCTCTCGACCATACATTTCTACCTTTCCTTGCCCTTTCCTGCTGATGTCGACGAATGTGATTGCCAATTTCTAAGTCAATTTCATCCCGCTCTCTCTGATAATGACAACCATGTACATTAAACGAACCTTTTTAGGACAATCCATGATGAAGACTGACAGTCTGACACGACCAAAAGTGTCACATGGTCAGGAGTGAATAAATCGAAGAGGAAAAAACTGCAGAAACTGCAGAAGACGGTGACAAGCTGCGTCATTAGACGGTACGATTTCGAATTCACGGTAATAGGATGTTAGGAGGATGTTATGAAGCCGTTATAAGGCCGTCAACACGTCAATGGACTGTTACCTAGGCGTTAAGCGGCTGGTACCGTGAAAACGCTTTTAATGTGACATTTCAAACACCCGTTGGGAGCCCGTTTATTGGACGGTACCAAAGCGGTAAACTGTCGTTCGCAACCCGTCGCTGATTGAGTCAACGTCCCCCATCGTCCCATCACCGCCTTGTGAACGTGTCCTTAACAGCCGCACCGTTCTCATACCATTCCCATACCGCTATCGCCGTTTGCAGCCGAACGTTAGTCAAACGGAAAAAGTTTTGAGCATGCTCAAAAAATTCGCCGGGTGTGGATGGCCGGCAACGTTCCCTGAACGGCCGGGAAACAGCCCACCGTGTGACCATGCCGGCCATCGCCGTCTGGCCATAATTAGCCACACGGTGGCGAACGGTGGGCCTACACGGCTAGTGTGACCGCTACTTAAACGTGTGATAACTGATAAAAGGCCTAAACTGGACTTGTAAAATGTTGCAAACATCTGACATCGCTTATATAAATAGAACACATTAGGTAAAGTAGAAGAAATGTCACTTAAATAGAACAGTACACAATGGCTACAGGGAGACAGAAGTCACTTAAATAGAACAGGAGAATTTTCCAATCTTACTTGAGCTGTGAGCTGTTGCTTAAGTATGAAGGGGGTCCGCTATATTGGAGTTGTGAGGCAGGCATAAATATCCTGGGAGGAGGCATCTGATCTTTTTGTCTATCAACTCCTGGAAAGAAAAGCAGTGATGTGATTGGCCAATCATTGACATTCATAGCGCAGGATTTGAATAAACTTTACCGATTGAAAGAGGATTGACTCCCAGGGCTCCAACTCGATATTCAACCTTGACCTTAATCGACAACAACATTGAAAAATTTGTTATTTCTTGAACCCTAGGACCCTATCCTCCTTGACAAAATGACACTATTATGGCTCAAAATATGCATGGTAACAACTAGTCTCAGGATTCTCACCAGGAAATTTTTAGACCCCAGATTTTTCGCGGTATCACAACTACTCCCCCCATGTGAGATCAGATATATCCTAATTAGTATAATTTTCAAAATAATACTTCTAAGATTATCTTCCCATTTTAATCACAATATGCATTTCTAAAAGGTTTCTGACTTCAAATTTCTTGTTCCAGTTTTATGTACTTTCTGAAGAGTTTTACCACAAATAATGTGACAAAAATGTAAAATTAGACTACGGACAAAACACTTTAGACTACGGAAAAGCTTTTAGACTCTGGAGCAAGAGGTCTAAAGACATTAGACTCCGGAGAATCTCCAGTTTGGCTAGTGAGAAACTGAGTCTGTTATTCTTTAAATGAAACATCATAATTTCCATGGTAACAACGATGAATTTAAATTATTCTGAAATAGACAAAATAACACCACAATCCTATGATTTAATCACAAACATTTTGTGCAAAATAAAAACTCACCACTTGGTTTAAATGCAGAGTTTTTCTGCATCTTGGATGACAAAAATTGTCGACTGACGCTACTTCCCCCAGCACTTGATCCTGGGCTGATGTTGCTATAGAAACGATATGACCCTGATGGACTACTGTTCTTGTGATTTTGTAAGAGCTTCATGGCGCCAGTGTTATTATTCATTGAGTTTGTTCTCGTTGGTGGCTATAAGAATAAGAAAAAATGTCAATTTGGTTGAATTTTTAAATTTCAACAAATGCATCACCCCTCATGTTTGAACATTCTCAAAATGGCAGTATTAACACATCTCAATGTGAACTATCTCAATATGAACACCTCCCAATGTGAACAGTTTCAATATGAACACCTTTCAATATGGACACCTCTCAATGTTAACGATCTCAATAAGAATACCTGTTAATGTGAAAATGCTCAATATGAACACTTTAAATGTGAATACATGTACTTCACAATGTCAACAACCTCAATATGAACACCTCTCAATGTGAACAGTCTCAATATTAACACCTCTGTTAAAAATGTTAAAAATCTCAATGAGAACACTTCTCAATCTGAACATTCTCAATATGAACACTTTTAAATTTGAACATTTTTAATGTGAACACTTCTCAATGTCAACATTCTCAATATGAACACCTCTAAATGTGAATACTCTAACTGGACGGACTAGCTTTAAATTACATAATTTAGACAGGTTGAACTGTAAAAGTGATTTGTCTTACCATGGTATTTTTTCCTAAAGTTCCTCCATTTTGAGACATTGGGGATCGATCATTGTGTGTGAGATCAAATGTAGGTGAAGGCAAAAATGGAGGAATGACAGGTTTCAATGTTTCACTACTGGACAAATGTTGGTGTGGAGGGTTTAATGTCTGAAATATGAAATAAATTTGTAGTTAAGTAACAATGGATACAAATATGAGAAAGAAATCTACATTTGCTCATGATGAATTTATTTATTTATTTGAATTTATGGACAGCATCAAATCAGGAATATGTATGATTTATATTTTTAAATACTCTTACCAGTGTGTACATTGAAGCACTTTTCTTTGTTTCAAGCATAAGTGTTTGGTAGCTATTCAACATCTGGAGACCAGAAGTTTCATTGTTGTTACTCGCTGGTAGATTTGTTACCATAGTATTGATCTAAATAAAGAATGTAACTATGGTGATGATTGAAACAAACCCATTAACAATAGTGATGTTTGAGACAAATTCTCTCACCATGATGATGCTATGAACATTGATGATGGAAGTACCCCAAATTCATCTCCATGTGAAGATGACCCTCTAGGTTCAAATCATTGTGTAATCATCCTTGGTATATGCAATTATTGATCATGTACAGGTTGGATACACTGTTGTACACTACTAGTCATTTACTGTAATTATATGGTAATCAATCAATATCCCAACCTATTGATAACAATAAACTATAAACTAAAGATATACATGTATTATCATTAACTTTTCAAAAGTTCTATAGGTAGAATTAATTGCAAATACTACAAACCATTGGAGATGATTGAGACTTTGTCATTGTCTCCTCTATTGCACTATCAGGCAGAGGTGTCAAGCGATTGGTCGAAAATGTACGCCCGATCTTTAGATTTCTAAATCTGTTGGACATCCTGTTCCACCAGCCTTTTAATCCAGATTTGGTTTCCTCTTCAACACTGCAATCGACAATTGGTAAAAATTATAATAAGATTACATTCATCATTATTGTCTTGTTAGTCTATGATTGGTCAAATTCAGGTCACATGACATGAGAACAGGTGATGTTCATGCGCAGATCAAACAAAATGGCACAGATGTCAGTGATGGATTTTGGAAAATGATTTTCACAATGTATCAATTAAATGGACAATGCTAATAAGTTGTTCCCTTACATTTTTTCCTCCACAGGTCTAAGGGCTGTCTCCGAATGTGTCAACCACGCCTTTTTCTTGTTATCAGACTTCTGGGATTGTTGGGTTGCCTTTTGTGCTAGAAGTCTTAAGAGGTCAGTATCAACATCATCTAAAATGATTAAAAGTCACGCATAAAAGCATTTTATTTATTTTTAAACCTCACTTAGGTAGCAACACAATAGAATAAACTGCAATTTATTTTAAAGAATATACAGTTGTAACAAAGAAGACCGTATTCCTTTTCTATTGGTTTTAAAGAATTGACACTGGAAAGCTATCCAAAATCAGTGTAGCACAAAAGATAATTGACTGTCACATGTAGTGCACTAGACTGATCTAATTACACCATTTTCACTCATTCAAAAGTTGAATAGTAAACACAAAAGAAATCAAATTCCAAACTGTACCTGGCCAGTTACATGCGGTGCACTGAAGCTGGACTAATTACACCCACTCAATTCTCAATACAGCTACCTCATAATCAATACAAAACAAATCAAATATTCTTAAAATTGGATCATGGGCCATTTGCCTTTCACAAGAGTCAGTGTAGGGTTTAAGTTATATAAACCATTTGCACTGGGTCTTAGGAGAACTAATAGCCTCAAGGCCTTTGGCTACTATTCCTCCTAAAATCCAGTACTCATGTATTGTCCATAATATAAAATACAATTTCAACTCAAATATTATTTCAAATTCTTGAGTCTCATTCGAAGTTTGAATTTTTTACATTTCAAATGTTGTTTCTAATTCCTAAAAGGCCAGATAAATGTTTGGCAACATTTGTTTTAAACATTTTTAAAAAATAAAGTTTGGGAAAAAGTAGTTTTCGCTCATTTGTTCTCAAATACAGTGTACTGTTATTTGTTCTTGATTTCATGACTGCTTTAATTTGGCAAAGGGGACTTAAATAAAAGAAAATCTTCGCTCAAGTAAAAATATAAAAAATCTTCCCATAGTTCCAGTTGTCTTTGAGGATATTTTTTGGGGCCTTGGTTAAAATTGTCATTCATTATTTCCCACCATTTTAACATAAAAATACAATTACAAAATTGAAAGGAGTCAAAATAAAGTAAACTTTAAAGGATCGATATAACTATTATGACTTAGAAAACAATAAAAAAAATGAGTTTTTGAAGAATACATTCATTTAGATTCCATTTCATCAATTAAATGCAATAATTACGTTTTCGCTTTGAAAGTATTAACAAAAGTGAGAGTATTTGGCTGTTGTTAGGAATTCCCCAAAACAAATGTCAAAATGAATGTCCCCATGCCATTCAGTGCTTATTAATGATGTAACACTCGTACCACTCCTGTGAAATTGTAATGTGACATCATTTCCCTAACAATGTCAAATATATGAATTTTTGAACTAATATACATAGAAGGTAGAACTCATATTAGTTTTCAGTAAAGATTAATAAACCAAAATGTAGGCTTCTGACAAGATAAACCTAGTAGTCTATCAACGTGATAAGAAGAAATTAAAATGAGTTGTTATAAATTGGAAAGAACAATTCCAGTAGTACCAGGTGTTTGTGGTAAATATCTTTAATATATAAAAACATATAAGATTCTAATGAAGGTCACATCCCACATGCAGAAATATTGACACTCAATCTCCATTCACAACAAACTGTCACTTTGCTCTATTTTGATGCCATGGAATTGTTTCTGAAAATAACAGATTGTGATGCTAAAATAATGTTAAAATTTGCTTTTCATCTATTGCGTTACAGAAATCTTCCAAAATTAATTTGGTTGGTTTAAACTCTCAATAACATAAATATTTGAACCAAATCCGTCTACTGATACTTGAGTTATCAAAGATTACACTTTTTATAAAAATGGCAGCCATTTTGAAATTTGGTAGCCATTTTGAAAATGTCATTTTCAGTGGAGCTCTCATGTCTTGAGGCATCAGCACATTAAATTTGAACTAAATCCATCCACTGATTTTTAAGTTTTCAAAGATTATGTTCTGTTGCATAGATTGGTGGCCATTTTGAAATTTAGCTGCCATCTTGAAAATTCCTTCTTGACCAGAGCTCCTGTGTCACTAGGTATCAGCATATGAAATATGAACTAAATTCGTAATCTGGTACTTGAGTTTTTTACGATAAACGGCCGCCATTTTGAAAAGCAGTGGCCATCTTGAAAATCTCTTCTTCAGTAAAGTTCTTTTGTGTATAGGCACCAGCATATAAGATTTGAACCAAATCCATCAACTAGTACTTGAGTAATCCAAGATTAAATTTTTTACGAAAAATGATGGCCATTTTGAACTGAGCGGCCATATTGAAAATTCCTTTTCGAGCAGAGGTCCTACACCCATAAGGCATAAGCCCAAAAAATATCCGTCATATTGGTATACAGATGCACGAATGGATGGACGGACAGACGAATGGACGGCTTTCCTATTCACCTTTCCACAAAGTCAAGATAATCGATAATTTCGTCAAATGGTTATCCTAAAAATGAGTAGACAAGACTTTACCGACAGAATTTGAGGACGGAAAAGACTTTACAGACAAGATTTTCGGACAGAAAATCCAAAATGGCTGCCTTGACATTTACCCAGAATGCCCAAAAGCTAATCAGATCTAGATTTTCATACTAACAATCATCCCTGAAAATTTGAAATTGATCTACCAACCAGTTCACCTGGAAATGCGTAGACAAGACTTTACAGACAAGATTTTAAGACGGAAAATCCAAAATGACTGCCTTGACATTTATCCAGAATGCCAAAAAACTAATCAGATCTAGATTTTCATACTAACAATCATCCCTGAAAATTTCAAATTGATCTACCAAACGGTTCACCTGGAAATGCTTAGACAAGACTTTACAGACAAGATTTTAGGATGGAAAATCCAAAATGGCTGCCTTGACATTTACCCAGAATGCCCAAAAACTAATCAGATCTAGATTTTCATACTAACAATCATCCCTGAAAATTGATCTACCAAACGGTTCACCTGAAAACGTGTAGACAAGACTTGACAGACAAGATTTTAGGACAGAAAAATCCAAAATGGCAGACAATAAAAAAGTGATTATGAGTTTTTGCTGATTTCTTTTTACAAAATTATCACACTGTTAACAATAACATATAGGCTTTTACAACAAAGTACAACTGAAAATATTTATAAAGCTACTAAATAGTTAAAGTATGAAAACTGAAAAACACAATTAAATATCATACAAAGTATTATCGCGCGTTAACTTTTCTTAAATCATTCAAAATGGCTGACATGACTGAGCTAACAGGTCCAAAACCTGTTCAGATCTAGAATGAAGTGAGCTGAACAAGATGTTAAAGTTTTAAAAGCAACTGTGAAGCCGTTTTTCTTAAAGTTTGCAGACAAGGATTTTAGCATTTGACTTCCAAATGGCCGACAGGATGTATGTATCGAGTTAATTTTTTCATCCACATCTGTATGCACTCATAAGTTATCCCTTAAAATTTGAAGGTGATATCTGTACGGACACACGGACGGACAGACGGACGCAACTGACAATGTAGCCCCACACTATGTGGTGGGGACATAAAAAGACTATATTTGCCCAATGCAGTAGATATTTTTAATCAAATATGAAATATTTACGGGGTACTTTCATCCCAAATCTTAAATAATTCAATTTAATCAATTTTATTTACAGAACTTAATTATAATTCTCAGTTCAGCCTCACACATCTCATGTGATTATAAAAAAAAATTAAAAGGTGAAGTTACACAAACAACTTGATTAAAATATCTGATCGTGGTCCTATTAAAATGGCTCTTACGTCGTAGTATAAAATCCCAACACAAATTCACCATAATAGACTGTAAGCCATTCTGTAGAAGTGCTCTAGAAATGCAACCTTCCTTACATGAAAGGTTACACATTCCAACCTATTTCAAACCATCTGTATGATTATACTGGACACTTTCTGGGTAGTTGGACTTTCTATAGGGGTGGCAGACGGCCCTCAGACCAATTAATACCCCTACCCCCAAAAAACCATGGGGGTACTTTAATACCACCCAATAGAAAGAATACTAATGCATGTCAGATATTCATTGTTTTATATTGGGTAGGGCATGTTATGGTTAATAAGTGCCAGAAATTTCCAATCTCTAACTTATATGGTTACCATAGAAACAGTATTTATATCTCGAAATATTCTCAGTTTGACCCCCTCCCAAATGTGTCCCTTTATTCTCAAAGTGAAATATTTCAAAATCTGTTTGGATTTTATGGCTGCTACTTTGTCAAAATTTGTAATATTATGTCTATATTAACACTAAAACACTTAAAAGTTGATATAATGATCCTGTAAATCAATAATATTTATCAAATATAGTCACACATAGCTGCTTTTAGGGAAAAGTGGGCGTGGCACTTTTTGGTACTTGTGCACTTGTTGCAGCATTAAATGAAAAATGCAGATTACACTAACAATAATTGACAATTAATTGGCATCTACTAATGTTGTGTAACATTGTAATATGTTCATTATCATTATAAGACACTTTAAATATTTTATATAAGTGTTATCCTGACCCTTCCCTATCATAGGTCATCAATGGTCAAATGAACTTTTAGTTTAAGTCTTATAGGGTCCTTGGTCTTTTAAGCCTGTCAAGAGTCAAGTCTTACTTATTCATTGACTTGTTCCTAGAATATGAATGGATAAGTTCAAGTCATCTAGAGCTATTCAAGTCATCTATGCTTGTTCAACAGGATTCAATATTTAGAACCATTTTACCATGTTTACTGCAATTGAAAAGTAATGAACAGTTCAATCCTTTTGGTATGATATTTGATGCTAGTGTGAATTGCATAACATTTATGATTAAACTTGAATGAACTAATTTAACTCTGGCTATTAACAATTCCCTAGTATCCTTCACATAACCTCTAAATCATCTTCATATCCATGGCCTAAATGGGGAAGAAGGGAGGGGTTACAAATAGTGACCGAGGATAATTTGAATCAAAGCAAGAAGACGTAATACTCAAAACTAGAAAAATTGGAGACCATTTATACCCTTCCTAATATTTTACATTATATTATAATACATAACACTAAAATCTATTTTGTCAGACACTTGC